ACCCCCTCCCCAAAACTTCGTTTCGGGGGTATAAAAATTAATATTTTGGGTGTTGACGATTTACAACGTAGTCGATGTTTAACAACTTAATAATTAATGCAAAAAGTCCTTTCTAAACAACGCTGCAACTAATTCTTCAAATAAATTAACTTCTGTGTCCATTAAAGGGTATTCATTATTGAAACATACCAGCTGGTCTTAAATATACAGAATTTTCTGTCACATTTATACAATCAATACTGTATACGTATAGTATTGCTACCTTATGTAACAGACTATTTGTTAATGTCACTGAATCATGGTGCAGGCTTATTTCTTTAACAAACAAAATTTCTAATGTCAATTTCATGATTATATTTCCCATTCATAGATCTTTTGTTTCAAGAATTTTCTCACCTTTTTTTACATCTTCAACAGAACTTAGTTCTTTGATCAAAGGTTGCAACACTGAAAATATTTCTATTTAAGTATCTATTTATATTATATTCAAGTTGAATTAAAATATCTAGAGGGCCATGATCGCCCTGAAGTTTCTCACCTTATATAGGTCCCTGGGGCTGGGCCAATTTTAACTCAGGGGCTTTTATTTGAACAAACTTGGTAGACACTCATTTGAAGATGTTTTATGATAAATGACGGGGCCAATTTTGACCCCAGGGCTTTTATTTGAACAAACTTTGGAGACATTGACTACAAGATATTTCATGCCAAATATTTAAGCTCTAGCTCTTTTGATTTTTTAAAGAAGACTTTTTAAGGTTTTTTCCCCGGTTGCCATGGCAATCAGAGTTCTGCATGGAATTAAATTCTTTCAATGATTTTTAAATTGACCACCAAAAGAACATTCCTGTGAAGTTTGAATGAAATTGGTTTAGCGATTTATGAGATGTCATTTGAAATAAAAATTTACGGACGGACAGATGAATTGTGATAACAAAAACTCAAACCTTGTCACTTTGTGACAGGTGAGCTAAAAATAGAATGAGATGATATTCCAATTCTATAATAGTTGTCAGGACTAATTATTAATTATCAAGTTATTCATCAGTGACACTAACTTGTACTAAATGGTTCAATAATTTAATCTACAACAATTAACATAACTTTTTCTACATTTCTCTTTTCTGCCATATTACTTTTTTTCCAGCATTTGGTATATACAAACACAAGAGAACACAAATGGTGCAATTTTTCTCTTTATTTTTCTCTTTACAACAAAGTCCATGTTTAATCCTCATCCTTCACGACTGTAGTTTTCTCAGAAACGTAGATACCATCCAAGAACTTTCTGATATCCTTGTTCTTTACAGAAGTGGACTGTTGAATAAGAGCAGCTGAAAAAAGAAATACATTTAGTTTTAGATTTTTTTCTTATTTTACTTGATTAGAACTAACAGAAACAATCATTATTCTGATATTTCAGGCCAAAAGAACAACAGTAAAGTCCTTTATTACAAAGACTAATGTAGTTGTCGGAAGTGGAAATAGTGCAGGCCTATTTCAATGACTTCATTGGTGCAAACTCTCTAATAATAGTTACTAAAATGAAACAATTTTGGTCTAAACAAGATCTCTATGCTCAAGGTTACATGTATGTTGATTAAACTGAAGGAATTGCCTCTTTTCCAGATTTTTTGAGACCTGAAAATCTTTTTTCTACCCAATTAAAGCAGCACGGCTCCAGATGAGCCAAAATATTTCAAGAAAATCAAACTGGATAAAGAATGTACTAAGATTTATAAAAAGATTCAAGCATTATGCAATTAATGACAGATTTTGCAGTGAATATCACCATATATATCTAAACATTATTTTTGAATGTTTTGACCTGTCTGGTAGTTTACATGGATTATAAGTGCCGTTTGTAATATGTTAGTGTAAATGACCTTCTTCGTTCAATTCACCAGATTTTACTTTTAAATGCATTATAAACAATTTAATTAAAATCATCATGAATCTTGAGGCATGCTGCTTGAAAAGCAAATCACAGATGTTCACAAGCAGGGTTCAAACAGAAATCTGTCAAATAACTTAAAGCACTTTTCATTGACAAGGACTTTTTAAAGGCCAATTTTGCATTTTCAAAGACATTCTGACATCGTTCGGCAATAGATTTCCTGCAAACAATCAATTTGTCAAGCAAACATTTTTGTCTAAAATCAAATTGTACATTCAGGCACCGTATCACAGTCATTTATCCTTCATTTTCCTTGAAGGTGTTTCCTCTCTTAAAATATATTGCTTCTCGTTATGGACTTTCACTTTAGCACATGTATACCATTTATTTCAATTATCTTCATGCATATTCGCCAATACTCTGCAATGGGCATTCCAAACATTGCTTTGTATGTTAACTGTTGGATAATCATGAAGCAACTTGAACAAGAACATTCATTTTTTCCGTTCTTAGACTTTTTAACCATAATTATCAAAGTTTACTTTTTATTTATTCTCCTGAAAACCGGTAATGACGTTGTACACATGCAAAAACATATTTCAATGACACCAAACAGATTTTCTGTTCATTTCATACTCATGATTAACCAAACATAAATAAGTAAATAAAAATTCTCGACAAAGTTTTCCTTTCCATTTTTAACAAAAATTGTTTAAATTTCCTTTTTAATTGACGATCACTGTTATTTTTACAAGAATCAGATATTTTCAAGGATTTTTTTGTTCAAAATCAAGCCCTTTTTAAGCATTTTGTCAAGGACACCCTCAATTCAAGCACTTTACAAGACAGAGATTGTTTTCAAGCACTTTTCAAGACCTGTGCGAACCCTGACAAGGTTATGCTACATGCTAAATATCTAAACTGTTGGCATTGTAGTTTCACAAAATAAGACTGAAATGTTTTTTCTCATACAAGACTTTATCAACTTGTTTTGTTTGTTTGTTTCATTTGAAGCCTTTCCCCCCACCCCCGGGCCAATTTTTACCCAAGGGCTTTTATTTGTTTATTTGAACAGACTTGGTAGACACCAATAAGAAGATGTTTCATGCTAAACATCTAAGTTCTAGCTCATTGGCATTTTTAAAAGAAGATTTTTAAAGTTTTTACTATACACATATAGTTAAAAAACAATGTCACCCCTGGGGCAGGGCCAGTTTTGACCCCCGGGCGTTTATTTTAACAAACTTTGTAGATATTTACTTAAAGATGTTTCATGCTTAATATCTAAACTCTAGCTATTTGGGTTTTTCCAAAGAGGACTTTTAAGTTTTTGCTATACACATATAAGGAAAATCAATGACCCCCCCCCCGGGCGGGGCCAGTTTTGACCCCAGGGCTTTTATTTGAACATACTTGGTAGACACCCATTAGAACATGTTTCATGCTAAATATCTTAGCTCTAGCTCTTTGAGTTCTTAAAAAGAAGATTTTTTAAGTTTTTACTATATGCATATAGGGAAAATCAATGACCCCCTGGGGCGGGGCCAATTTTGACCCCAGAGCTTTTATTTGAACAAACTTGGTAGACACTCATTAGAAGATGTTTCATGCTAAATATCTTAGCTCTAGCTCTTTGGGTTCTTTAAAAGAAGATTTTTTAAGTTTTTACTATATGCATATAGGGAAAATCTATGACCCCCTGGGGCAGGGTCAATTTTGACCCCAGGGCTTTTATTTGAACAAACTTGGTAGACATTCACTAGAAGATGTTTCATGCCAAATATCTAAGCTCTAGCTCTTATGGTTCTTTAAAAGAAGATTTTTTAAGTTTTTACCATATGCATATAGGGAAAATCAATGACCCCCTGGGGCGGGGCCAATTTTGACCCCAGGGCTTTAATTTGAACAAACTTGGTAGACACTCACTAGAAGATGTTTCATGCTTAATATCTTAGCTCTAGCTCTTTGGGTTCTTTAAAAGAAATTGTTTTAAGTTTTTACTATACGCATATAGGGAAAATCTATGACCCCCTGGGGCGGGGTCAATTTTGACCCCAGGGCTTTTATTTGAACAAACTTGGTAGACATTCACTAGAAGATGTTTCATGCCAAATATCTAAGCTCTAGCTCTTATGGTTCTTTAAAAGAAGATTTTTTAAGTTTTTACTATATGCATATAGGGAAAATCAATGACCCCCGGGGCGGGGCCAATTTTGACCCCAGGGCTTTAATTTGAACAAACTTGGTAGACACTCACTAGAAGATGTTTCATGCTTAATATCTTAGCTCTAGCTCTTTGGGTTCTTTAAAAGAAGATTTTTTAAGTTTTTACTATATGCATATAGGGAAAATCAATGACCCCCTGGGGCGGGGCCAATTTTGACCCCAGGGCTTTTATTTGAACAAACTTGGTAGACATTCACTAGAAGATGTTTCATGCCAAATATCTAAGCTCTAGCTCTTATGGTTTTTTAAAAGAAGATATTTAAAGTTTTTTCTTTTGGTTGCCATGGCAACCAGAGTTCTGCATGGAATTAAATTCTTTGAACAATTTTTAAAGGTGACCACCAAAGGAACATTCCTGTGAAGTTTGGATGAAATTGGCTCAGTGGTTTATGAGGAGATGTCATTTAAAGCAAAAGTTTACGGACGGACGGACGCCGGACGAAAAGCGATCACAAAAGCTCACCCTGTCACTTTGTGACAGGTGAGCTGATAAAAAAAATGAACAAAGGGCAAAAATTCCAAAATTAGGCAAGGCGGAGTTATGTTATTTTTGCACTGCACTTCTATTCAAAGATATATATTTATCTATAAAGTTTCCTGATGATATCAGAGTTATGTCCCGGGTAAATTTCAAAGTGTAAAAATGAACAAAGGGCAATAACTCCAAAATTAGACCAGGCTTTGTTTAGGTTCTTTAAGCATTGCAGTTCTATCCAATTATATCTAGCTACCTACAAAGTTTCATGTTGATATCTCTTATAGTTTTAAAGTTATGTCCCGGACAAAAGTCAAAAAGTAAAAATAAACAAAGGGTAATAACTTCAAAATAAGGCAAGGCAGAGTGATGATTCTTAAACACTGCACTTCCACCCAATGAGAACTATCTATCTACAAAGTTTCATGTTGATATCTCTTATAATTTTAGAGTAATGTCCCAGACAAAGTTCAAAGTGTCAAAATGAACAAAGGGCAATAACTCCAAAAGTAGGCAAGACAGTGTTAAAGTTCTTGTGCACTGCAAACCTACTTAATGAGATTTTTCTACCTACAAAATTTCATGTTGATACCACTTATAGTTTTAGACTTATGTCCCAGACAAAATTCAAAGTGTAAAATAAACAAAGGGCAATAACTTCAAAATAAGACAAGGCAGAGTTACAGTTTTTGTGCACTGCACACCTACTCAATGAGATCTATCTACCTACAAAGTTTCATGTTGATACCTCTTATACATTTAGAGTTATGTCCCGGAAAAAGTTCAAAGTGTAAAAATAAACAAAGGGGGATAATTCAAAAAGTAGGCAAGGCAGAGTTACGGTTCTTGTTCACTGCACACCTACTCAATGAGATCTATCTACCTACAAAGTTTCATGTTGATACCTATTATAGTTTTAGAGTTATGTCCTGGACAAAGTTCAAAGTGTAAAATAAACAAAGGGGGATAATTCAAAAATTAGGCAAGGCAGAGTTACGGTTCTTGTGCACTGCACACCTACTCAATGAGATCTATCTACCTACAAAGTTTCATGTTGATACCTCTTGTTGTTTCAAAGTTATGTCCCAGACAAGAAAAGGGGACGGACTGACGGAAAGACGGACGGACAAGGCGGCGACTATATGCTCCCCCCCACCCCCCGAAATTTTTCGGGGAGCATAAAAATTATATAAACTTTCCATCAACTGATATTTACCTGATCTGGACACCAATTCTATGTCATTTCCTGCAAGATGAAATTCATCTTTCTGTCCTGGGGCACTGTTTATGGAGACACCTTCCAACATGCTTACATGTCTTGTGTATTTCTCTCCCAAGAAATTTCTAATTGAAACAGCCTTTTTATCATCAGAAACTGAAACGTTGATGGGGAAATGGGCATACACTGATCTCATCTTGTACAAAAATCCCTAAAACAAATAACATGACATAATATTAGTAATGGAATACAGAAAACAATTTTAGGAAATTGTCCAATTCTCCGACTATGCACAGTAATAAGACAATCAGAGATTTTCATCCGAGACAAGTCACAATGTACCAACAACATAAAGTCAAGTAAACATGGTCCTGACATCGCTCACCAGAGGATAATGCTAGAAATTTTTTTAAGCCAGTAATGACATCATGTCCAGTTTTGACATTTTTACTCCCTAGGCTGCATAATTTTAAAAATATTTGTAGATGTCTGCTACAAAATGCTTCCTGACAAGCAGATTGAAATTTTACACAATACAAGACTTTTTTTTACTTCTATAACAGGGACCAATATAAGGCCCCTTCACAATTCAAAATTGCACTTTTTTTCTACAAAGCGGCAGAAAAAAAATCACAATTTCAAAAGAAATTTCACAAAATATTGGGACTTTGTTTTCAAAATACATTGTTAACCTTCCGGTAAAACTTGATTTACGCCAGTTGCATTAACACAGAAATAGTTTTAATCAAGTAAAATGGTTTTTATGCATGTTAACCGGGTTAACGTACCGACATAAAGCAGATTTTACACAGGTCAGAAAATATAATTAACCATAATTTGAGATTCCAAAATGTTGTGAAAAGCCAAGTAATAGTCATTTTTTCCCCACAATTTTATGACATATCATGCTTTTTTCACAAAATGAACAGGCCCAGGCCTCTTCACAATTTTGACAAAAAATGCCCTGCAATAAGATTTGTTTTAATTTGTAAGTCTATATAAGCTAAATGAACCCCATGGTGGGCCAGTTCTGACTACCAGTTCTGACCGAAGGGACATGATTTAAAGAACTTTTGCAGAGGACCACAAGGAGATGCTTCATGCAAAATACTTAACCTCTAGACATTCATGTCTAGACATTCATGTCATTATAAGAATTCATTCATAAAAGAGACATGGAAATGACATCATTTAAAGTATAAGGTTTTTCTACCACTTGATTAAACAGTTAATACTGTATTCCTAGAAATTATTTCCACAAAAAACAAGAACCGGTTGAACCCGGTGATGCTCCCCGAGAAGGTTCTGGACACAAGAAAGTATAAAAAAATGAACAAAGGGCAAAAAACTCCAAAATTAGGCAAAGCGGAGTTATGTTTTTTTGCACTGCACTTCTATTCAATGAGATCTATCTATCTATAAAGTTTCCTGATGATATCAGCGTTATGTCCCGGGTAAAATTCAAAGTGTAAAAATGAACAAAGGGCAATAACTCCAAAATTAGACCAGGCTTTGTTTAGGTTCTTTCAGCATTGCAGTTATATCCAATTATATCTAGCTACCTACAAAGTTTCATGTTGATATCTCTAATAGTTTTAAAGTTATGTCACAGACAAAAGTCAAAAAGTAAAAATAAACAAAGGGCAATTACTTCAAAATAAGGCAAGGCAGAGTAATGATTCTTAAGTACTGCACTTCCACCCAATGAGACCTATCTATCTACAAAGTTTCATGTTGATATCTCTTATAATTTTAGGGTAATGTCCCGGACAAAGTTCAAAGTGTCAAAATGAACAAAGGGCAATAACTCCAAAAGTAGGCAAGACAGTGTTACAGTTCTTGTGCACTGCACACTTACTCAATGAGATCTATCTACCTACAAAGTTTCATGTTGATATCTCTTATACATTTAGAGTTAAGTCCCGGACAAAGATCAAAGTGTAAAAATAAAAAAAGGGGGATAATTCAAAAATTAGGCAAGGCAGAGTTAAGGTTCTTGTTCACTGCACACCTACTCAATGAGATCTATCTACCTACATAGTTTCATGTTGATACCTATTATAGTTTTAGAGTTATGTCCTGGACAAAGTTCAAAGTGTAAAATAAACAAAGGGGGATAATTCAAAAATTAGGCAAGGCAGAGTTACGGTTCTTGTGCACTGCTGCACACCTACTCAATGAGATCTATCTACCTACAAAGTTTCATGTTGATACCTCTTATACTTTTAGAGTTATGTCCCGGATAAATTTCAAAGTGTAAAATAAACAAAGGGGGATAATTCAAAAAATAGGCAAGGCAGAGTTACGGTTCTTGTGCACTGCATACCTACTCAATGAGATCTATCTACCTACAAAGTTTCATGTTGATACCTCTTATACTTTTAGAGTTATGTACCAGACAAACTTCAAAGTGTAAAAATAAACAAAGGGGAATAATTCAAAAATTAGGCAAGGCAGAGTTACGGTTCTTGTGCACTGCACACCTACTCAATGAGATCTTTCTACCTACAAGGTTTCATGTTGATACCTCTTATACTTTTAGAATTATGTCCCGGACAAACTTCAGTGTAAAAATAAACAAAGGGGAATAATTCAAAAATTAGGCAAGGCAGAGTTACGGTTCTTGTGCACTGCACACCTACTCAATGAGAGCTATCTACCTACAAAGTTTCATGTTGATACCTCTTGTTGTTTCAAAGTTATGTCCCGGACAAAAACAGGGGAGGGACGGACGGAAAGACGGACGGACAAGGCGGCGACTATATGCTCCCCCGAATTTTTTTTCGGGGAGCATAAAAAGCTGCATGTAACAAATCCACAAACATTTTGGGCTTCAACCACTTAGATTTTCATTAGGTCATTATAAAATACTCTGATGAGTAAGCATAACTTTTACCTATGCTTATAGAGTGGACAAATACATAAACCTAAATGTGATATTTGTAATATATATAATATATTTATCCCAGGCGACTTAAAATTCGAGGTCACTATCAGGCAAAAGTTTATCGTTGCAAAAATGCCATCCTTATGAAAAACACAAATTACTTCTTTTGCGAAAGCTTCTAGGAATACAGTAATCCTGGAAAACATGCCATTATAAATGTTCACCTCTGGGCACAATGTGCTTAAACAATTGAAAAATAATCTCCAGTAATTTTTCTCACTTAACTGGGAAGAGGCTTTACCTACTTGATTTTGGAAAAAATTATCACTAAAATTGCTTATTTGGAAAGTAAAAAAGGAGGTTTAAGTTCAAATATTTAGGAAAACTGCATGATTTTAAAGTAAATTTCGATTGGGAACAGGCTGTTTTCAGAGTCTGTGTTATAAGCAGGAAAATCACTGATCTCATGCCATTACAAAAGCATACCTTTGGGCACAATGTGCTTAAGCAATCTAACAGTAATCTCATATTATAAATTTACATAACTACCTTTGTTACACCCTTGAACATGTTTTGAATGTGACTGCAGACTGTGTTGACAGCAGCCAACTCCTTACGCTTGCCAAACCACTTGATGACCTTGATCTTCTTCTTGCCATCCATCTGGATATCAACAGCCAAATGTTTGAATGTTCTAGACAGAGACCCTCTAGGACCTTTTACCATCACCTTCCTGGACTTGACATTGACATCAACTGTTTAACAGTAAACATATTAACTGAAAATTACAAATATATATGCCATATGCCTGTATCTCAAATTGTGTATAAGCCTGTTATTTACACAAAAAATATTCATAATATTTGGACTTCAACCATTACTCACAAAAGACAATCAAAACAAAATTGAAATTAAATTTTATGTCATTGTGTACTTCACTAAAGCTAAAAATATCACTCAATTAAAAAATTTATACACTTGATTGCTTTTGATGTTCTGCACTGGATACCTATTCTGGTACAAAGTTCTATATTTAACTTTATCAAAGTATCCCTTTCACTTATTTTAGAGAATTCAAAACTTACAAATGAGGACACAATAGGTACATTACAGTAAAGATTTTTTTCTTGCCAAGTTTGTTTTGTTTGTTTGTTTCATTTTTACGCCTTTTCCCTACAGTATTTCAGTGACATATAGGCGGGTAGTTTCCTAACCATTGTTACTGGAGAGTTACACCAGTACTAGACTACCTTCCTCCATGCTAAACTACCAAAGAATCGAACCCACGCCAGAGAGGTAACTGGATTAGAAGTCATCAACTCTAATCCCTCGACCACGGAGGGGGTTTCTTGCCAAGTTAATCTGTTTATAAACTTCTAAGATCATGAATATGTATTTTCTGAGTAACATACCCCCATCAGGAATAACAATTGTCTGTGTTGTTAAAAGAGTCTTCATCTTTCCTGAAAATATCAAATGTAAGCTTCGTTAGTATGAAAACTAAAATATCTTGGGTATGACATCAAATATTATAATCAATAACTAGCAACCCCACACTAATTTTTTTATTTTATTGTATTTATAAACAATTTATTTCATCTTATAGTGCTCATGATAAGCATTTCAGAACAGTTTTCCTTTTCAAAATGTATTTAAAATTTATGAAACAGTTATGACATTTAATAATGGAAATTGCGCCTTTTTTACTACAAATGTATATACAATCAACAAGAAATGTTCTCGTGTTGACGGAACCGAAATGACAACGTTAATGACAAATTCCACACTTAAAATACTATAATTGTTTAATTATTTGAGATATTTTGATGAAATTTAGAATATAGGTAGATTAGTTATTACTGAATATAAGTGGGTTATTTTACAGACCATTAACTGTAGAAGACCACAATCATACTAAGTCTAATACAGTGGGCAAGGTATCGATAAATTTTTTGAAAAAATTTATTCATTTTTCATTTATCGACATATATAAAGTAACAAGAAACTACAGCAGCACTGTATAATGAAATCCAACATGAATGAATATCAAATTGCTCTACAGCATCTGCAATGTCATGCTTTTATCTTTTTTTTTCTCAAAAAATAATTATTCACTTCTTTTGCAGTTAGTAAATAACTCTCTTCTTCCAGAACTCCCGCAGTCTCGAATTATAGCAGTATATTCTAAATTGAACATAAGTCAAACAGCCCGAAATTCCTCACTAGACCAAAAGAAATGAAATTGATTTGATTTGCTATTAATTGAGATCAAAATTAAGAATGTTTTTCATTGCTAACATAAATTGATGCACCTGGAGGCTGGATATCAGTTGTCTTTGTCAAGAGCTCTATAATATCGATATGATTTATTCTGCCGATAAATGCCAGTCGGTAGGACATAATTGTTTAAATTAATTAATGTTATTTATAAGGATCTGCTTCTCCCATTTCCCAGATTTGTTTTAAAAGGAGTCTTCTTCATCTTTAACCATTTTCTTTGAAATTAGTTGACTTCATTTCATCGGATTTCAATGAATAAGCATAAATCTCGGCAATTAAACATACTTCCACATTACAATTTTGGGGCAGTTCTTGCAATGATTGGTAATGTATACTGTTATCATATATTTTGCAGATAAATGCCAGTTGGTATCATATACTTTTTAAATGCTATAGAAGGATCTGCTTCTCCCCTTTTCCAGATTGTTTTTAAAGGAGTTTCATCTTTAGCCATTTTCTTTGAAATTAGTCGACTCCATTTCTTAACATAGCTGATTTGGGATTTCAATGAATATAAAGCAGACATCTCAGCATCCCCATTAACAATTTTGGGACAGTTCTTGTTGTGTTTGGTAATGTATTCTACTATATGACAAGAATTATTCATTAACAGCATTGGTTTGTCATCTTATATTTGTCCAAATGATCCAAGTGTTGTCAAATATTGTCATCATCAATATTATTTCATGATATTTTTTTTTTGTCAGGTCTGTCATGCACCTGGAAAAAAATAAAGTATAAAGTTAGTATTTATAATAAATCATACATGAATTAAAAAGAAATGCTGGCAAAATAAGTTTAAATACATTGTTTAAAAATATTATTTATCCTATATATATATATATGCGTAGAGGTTAACAGATTTTTTTCAGTTAAAACTGTCACTGGCAGCAGGTCGACCCTGCATTCACCATGTAAATTGCTCATTAGAAATAAATTTCTGCTTTAATTAATTATAAAACCGTAAAAAATTAATTTAATATTTAATAAAAAGTGATTTCCTTGTTAAATATACGATATCTCATTGAAACCTGAAGCATCGGTAAAAAAAAACAAAAAAAATTAGAATTTGAAAATTGGCCGAAACTGAGCAGGTGCCCGCCGAAACATATATCTCAATTTTAAAGACAAATGCGCTAATATTTAAAAAAATAATTATATATTGATATATTTTATTATAAACCAAGACTTTATCTACCATAATTTTATTTTGTTACTCGTTTATACGTGATAAATCAGTAATGGAAATAATCGGATTTCACCGCGTCGGTGAATTCAAAATGGCGGACTCTGATGGACTGTTGAATTTCCACAACTCGCTGTATTTAATCGTAGATGCGGGTGCTTTAATGGCAACATAATTTTATGACTTATGAATCATTTTAAAGATAATTCAATTTATTTTCTAGAACACTATTCGTTTTTCTTCACTTACCGATAGTTTTCAAGCAAATCGTCGGCGAGTATCGGGCGTCATAACTTTTTTGTTTGTAAACATATTTAAATGACGAAAATTCCGCGGTGAAATGTAAACATATTTCTGATTGGTTGCAAAAAATCATGAATATTAATTAGCAACAAATGACCAGCAAATAAGGTCATGCGGCATACATGTGACAAGCGCGTGTCCACAATCGGGTTTTGTAAAATCGGCCGAAAATACACCTGTATATTAAGATTAACTGATAATGATTAAAATGCATAATATGCATGAATAATGAATTTTATATCATTTTGAAGACAATTTATCACTGATTTATTTCATATAACTTTTATAATGGTCAATATTAAAATTTAATGTTTTACAATCAATTTTATGAACACACTATCGATTTTTACGCTAATTTCTTAAGCTGTAGGCGTATCAGTTGGGGTTGCTACAATAACAGTTAACACTGAACAGTTTTAAAAATGTAACTCAATCAATTTCAAATAACCATCAGGCCTTAAAAAAAGAGTTTAATTCTGGTAACCCTACCGACCGTAACATTTTAGCGCCAACTGAAACTTTTTTACAGCCTTCAAAAAAAAAATTTGACGAAAAGCCATCCCGGTACGGGCGTTAACAGATTTTTTTACCGTCATATGAATTTGTCAATAATTTAGCCTACTCAATGTCATGACAACAGAATGGCTGCGCCCTGGTCGCAGTCTTGTCAACTTTACTGGCAATAAAAATTGAAAAATGTTCACACCGAAAGATGAAATAAGCGTCATCAAATCTGTTTTCAATAGCAGTACGGTGCACGATATATACGAATCATTTACGGGCAGAAAAACAATGGATTTTGAGGCTAGATGTATGGTAAGTTAAAATCGTCTTCAAAGTGCAGCGTCATTTTCCAGAGTAAAAAATGCTTACCTACCGACCCATCTTTTTTTCAAAGATGTTACCAGAAACAAACCTATTTTTTAGGCCTCATAGGACATGGGATGTGAATAACACAAATTATATGATACATATCACACTACAGCAGTCATAAATCATTACAATAATTTTTTTTATTGATTTTTAATAAATGTATTCATAATGATAATACTGCCTCATAAGCTGTGGCTTCCTGTTCTATCATTAATCACAATTTTTCAATATTCACTTTATTTTCACTAAAGCAATAGTCATCCAAAGAGAAAATTACCCTTTAAATATTCATGTAAACATTGTAGTCCAATATATTAGACGTTACAGGCTTGTTAGAGTTTATGTCGGTCAAGCCTGACGTCTAATAGTTATTGCTCAAAACGCATAACATCATAAAAAAATCAAAAAATGTCTATTGTCTTGCCTTTCAAGCTTTATTCAAAAGCTTATCTTCTTTTCTTTCAATTTCATGCTCAATCATACACAAAAACTCTCATACAATGTACTTATCAATTTAAAATAAAATATAAACATCAATCTATTTTTGTCTATCAGCCATACTGGTTAAGCAAGGTGCTTTACAGATTGATTCCAAATTTTTGAACGGAAAAATATATTCGAACACACTGACGATGCATGGGCAATTATTTCGTTAAAAAAAATATTCCGTTCGTTTGTTCCGACTCAGTTAAACGCTTGCATTTGAATTAGCCAATCAGATTTCGCGCACTTTATGGTCACCATTTGTTTATCGGCTGTAAAAGGAATTTAAATACATGAGAGGATTTAATCATGATTTTTCGGATGTGACAGTTTAATTTTTTTGACAAAAGGTATTAGTTTTTAGTTTTGTTCATAAATAGGTCAAAACTTATGTAAATACATGCTGTCTTCATTGTTTTTCGTTCCGCCCGATTTTCTGGCGGAACATGCTATGGGTTTTTGAGCAATTTTGATATGACGTTGCTTTGCCCTGAAGAAAAAATATCTCGAAAGCGACTTCATATTTATAGGACCAGTAAACATCGTTACAATCGTAATAAAACGGTACTTTGTATTTGTCTAGTAGCAAGTTTTGTTAATTTAAGTACCGACATTTTATTTAGATTTCTAGACTATCTATTGTTACTTTACACTAAATTACAGCTTGTCCATATATCCTTTATCATTAATCTGGAGAAACTCAAACTGTCAGAAAATGCTGATCAATTTATTTATGAAAAATTACTGATTTTCATTTAAACCACGCATTTATCATTTCCCCGCCGGTCACAATCGCAGGGTACTTCTATTTTACATGTAATTATGTAAATCAATGTGGATCAAATAAATAAATGTTCACAAATCTACATTTTTTTGGAGTGCACAGTCAGTATATAGTTTTAAAGTGTTATTGGAAGAGAGATAAATAAATCTGTGAAAGGAAATCTTCAGCAGACTTGAAGATATAAACCATTATTTTGAAAATTGAGTTCTTCTTTGAGATTAGAGGTATGATTTGCCTGATGTAGAAGGATTATCAAATACAGTTTGATATTTACCACTTTCTGTAGTGGTCCTAACCGGAAAAGGAAGTTGAAAACCGGTGTGTATAAGATTTTTACTTCGTGAGAGTCGATAAATTTTCGCCAACAAGATAACGTAAGACAAGTTTTCGCGTAACTTGTTTTGTGTTCTTGGTAATCCTTGATTTAAAGAATATATTGTTATATTTCCGTCATATTTATATAAATAGTGATATCATTCTTTTGTGTGATTTGTTGAAAATGAAATAATTTATTTTTTGATGTGTCATATATTTCGGATAAGCATAATGCCAGTCTATTTATAATAATTTGAAAAATTGATTCTTTTTATTAATAAGTAGTAATGAGAAATAATATGAAAAAGGCAAATCCTCAAAGCGAGCTGGATTTCCATTTACCGCAAAATAGTTTAAAATAATCATTCATTTTTATTTTACATTTTCCGTTTTAAAATTGTCATTAGGTATTGTACAGACTGGTGAAAATGCCCGATCGGGCTTATGTCATAAAAAATCTTATTTCTAGAAAAGAAATAAAGATATTTTTTTCAAACTTTGTTTGTTTATTGAGAATAATATTTGACATAAACAGAAAGAAAATATTTGGCTACTGTCACTTTTGTGCAATTTATTTTCCTTTTTTCATGTTTTTATAACTCATAATTTTTTAAGGGAATTTGGCGGTTACATACCATGGAGGTTACGTACCACTGCATAAATGTACCATTTTTGGAGGTTACGTACCACTATAGAAATATATAATAAAGTGATAATAAGGGATAAGGTGTGAAACTATCGGGTTTATTGTTCAAATTCGCGCATTTAAATTGTATTTTGTAATGAGATTAAATATGTATGAATATATAAGAATAAACAACAAACCAAAATTAACGATAAAAAACAAGTTTTATTTACAACACAAAACTGAAACGAACAAACGATAAAAATAATTAATAACACTAATATAATTACACACACTAAAATTGAAACAGTACAATGAAACAAACCACAGCAAAATGATTTAATGTACTCAAATCACGCTAAAATAACATTTTCTAAAGTCCCAGCATGAAATTCTGTATAAATTCTATATATTTTGGGTCTGAAGCGTAAATATATCTAGATGTATTGAACGAAATTTAGACGCGACAGAATCACCGAATAGTTTTAAAACAAGCCATGTGACTTGAAGAAACCCTGGAAGTTACAATAATAGATTTTGTGGATATTGTATGATTGAAACAAGTCTTAAGTCATTCATTTGATATGCTCTTTAACGTTTCCATAGTTCACTGTGGGAACTTATGTGATATCTTAACGCTCTGACCCACGCGGGTCAAGTTAGGAAACCACCATTTTATTCTTTATAAGAAGTAAAGTTTTGTTCCTATGACTGCCTAGTGTATTTATTTTGAGGACATTGGACATTTATAGAAAAATGAATGAAAAAATCAAAATGAAGAAATGTAAATTTTGCCTGTGTCTCCCTTTAACTGAAATAAACAAAATAATAAGAACCGGACAAAATTACTTACCTTGGATAAAAAACTAAACAAGCGTTACATATTTTATCATTTGTACATTACTTTAAGTTTTATTTACACGTTAACTGAACTGTGCATAAAATGAAAATAACAATAATTATGTGACACGCTCTGAAATGAAACAACAGTACACAATTAACAAGTATTTTTAAAAATATTTTTGAGTTTTATTTATACGCACTTAACTGAAATAAACAAGACAAAATAATTGATAACAGAAAATATGCAGGTTACATTTTATTTACAGACTCATATTTACAAACAAGTCAATTTATATATTTTTCAGCTCCACTAAACCGCTCCTGGATGCTACTGTCTTCTTGTCAGAATCTACTTAAAGCCAGATCAGAGTTGTGATAAATAAATAATATCACACTGATAAAATCAGTGTATTCACTTATATGTCAATAGTTTGCAATTTGTTTGTGATTTGTTAGATTACTAATTTCTGAATGTGTGATAATCATACATAGATATAGGTAAAACGTTTGCATTTATATTAATTGCTCTTATGTGATTTTTAAAAAGTAATATTAAAGTTATAATTTGGTCTTTTTTTATAATTGTTATGCTCTATATTATTTGTATTTTATATAAATTATATATATATGGTACGTATCCTCCAAAATATATAAGTGGTACGTAACCTCCTGGTACGTATCCTCCGTGGTACGTAACCTCCAGTAATCTTTTGAAGTACTTAAAAAGTATGTTACATATGAAAAGTGTAAAACAAAATAGGTTAGATAACTTCTTTATACTCTAATTCATTGCGCCAACACCTGTCAGCATATATTTCATTCAATTTTCAGAGAAAACCTAAAGTATAATGTTCAGTGTCAAAGAATTGTCAAAATATAAATGCCAGAAACAGAATATTTAATCCAAATATAATTATATATAGAATAAAGATATTGGCGCAATAATCTAGGGCAAAATGAAGTTGTTGGACACATTGCTATTTAGAATTTTACATTACAATATTATTTTCATGAACTTCAAATATTTTGTTTCTAGAAAATGAGAAAAAAGCGAAATAATTCTAAGAAAATAAAAGATAACCAAAATATTTTGATTTTGATTTGTATCATATATCAATGCTTAATAAGCAAAACAAGTGAGAAAGAAACATATTAATGATCTTTTCTAGAAATTTGATATTCTATGTCTAAGCCCTATCAGGCATTTTTACCAGCCTGTTTTATACACTACTTCCGTTTATTCTGGTTCCCCCTTTCTATTATTGTTCCCATATAAATGCGCAGGAGACCAGTCTACACTTCCATTTTCAATCAAAGTACATTGGCTTTTATCGTTATCTTGTAATTCGAAAAGTTGCGATGTGTCAATTCAGTAATTCGGACAAAAGTTTTCAAAACCATCACTATCTAGCAGGTACTCTCGTTACCGTAAAGCTCGCTTTGCACATAGGCCCTTCGGGCCAGCTCATCAAGATCAGTAATAGCTGATAAGAATCATCGTAGTCCCTTTATGTTCACTGTTATCAAATTATTCTTAGAAAAACGACACTGATTGTCTCGTTCTAGATTTAAGCAGGGTCTGTATTTGAAAGACACTGCTTTAGGTATTCAGGGTACACATTTATATACTGTGACATGATGTGAATGCTAAAAACTGACTCGTAGGGAAAGTCTTCCAATAATCGGGCCAGGAACTTGACATAATAATATTCATTCATAGAATATGCAATGGAGTAAAGTAATATGTTGATAAGTCATGTTTCATTCTAGCCTTATTAATTTGTCCTAAATGATTTCACTGGTTTTTACTTCTGTCAGAAGACCTTGCCAAACTTATAAATACTAGTAACGGCACTAATCACAAATCAATGATTTACATTATTTAAATTCATGACAATTTTACAAATAAAAAATAATTTTACGAATAAACATACATGTAGTTTTCCTTAAATTCTTTATAAATGACTTTCCTATTTTTATCTAGGTACATACAGCCAAACTAATTGCAAGTTGTCAGAGGTTGCCTACACAATTATTGCATGCCTTTGAAGTCTCTAGCAAGATTATGACTTTGTCCTAATAAATATAATGTTGCTCTGCTATTTTTACTATTCTGTGCAAAATTATAGGCTGGGACAACATGAACATTACAAGCTTATAAAATTTTGTCTAATAAATTGAAATAGATTCTGACTTAGAACAAAAAATTCCTTAGAATCTATTTTCCTAAGACGTGGTGTGATTTTGACTAAAGCTACATGATAATGCAATAAAGTCAGTAAAATCATTGGAGCAATTACACTTAACAGGCACTTTGTCTGGGAAAATCTGTTAAAAAAATTATACCTATTGTGCAATTTAATAGTTAAGAGCAAGTTGAAATATACTAATAAATTACATGTAAAATCAACTTTTGAACATTCTTGTTTTACCATATGATAGTTTGTTTTGCAAGCAGCTCCTTACAAGGCCCTATGTGCCTGCTATTCAAGGTGGCTATATAAATAAAAAGTAATCATTTCTTTCCAGTGTTTGGTTTTAAGTAATTTCAAGAAGAATGTCAGGCTTTGGGCAAGATGATGGATTCTACAGTGGTGGTGGTGATTACTATAACAACCCGAATCAGAATCAAGATATAAACTACGCCCAAAGTGGATATGGGCAAGAACAGTAAGTCAAAATTTACTGCACTTTATATAGTCTTTATGAACCTTTCGCAAAATAAGTTCTTAAACTATAACAAAGCTAAGTTTTTGTCTTATTTTTATCCATGGGTTATTATCTGCATGGCTCATTGTTGGTTACCCATGGTATATATTCCTTATGTACTACATTAGTTAATGTAGTATATATCCGTACATACTACATTAGATAATGTAGTATGTACAGAATATATATACAGTGTGTAACCGACAATGAGGAAAGCAATTCCATGAGCAATTCATGTGTACTGTGATGAATATTTGTTTCAGTGTCTGAGATGGTAATACCCCATATAGACATGGGAGGTAACTGTGTTGGAAAAGAAGTCAAGTCATTTCAATTACAGTCGTAAAGCATCTAATTTTCTTTTCAGCATTTCTAGTGAAGCTCATAAGTCTATGCATACCATAGATAGAATAAAGGACATTCTAATACTATGCACTTGCTTTTTAGCTCACCTGTCACAAAGTGACAGGGTGAGCTTTTGTTATCGCTTTTCGTCCGGCGTCCGTCCGTCCGTCCGGCGTCGTCCGTCCGTCCGTAAACTTTTGCTTTAAATGACATCTCCTCATAAACCACTGAGCCAATTTCATCCAAACTTCACAGGAATGTTCCTTTGGTGGTCACCTTTAAAAATTGTTCAAAGAATTTAATTCCATGCAGAACTCTGGTTGCCATGGCAACCGAAAGAAAAATCTTTAAATATCTTCTTTTAAACAACCCTAAGAGCTAGAGCTGAGATATTTGGCATGAAACATCTTCTAGTGAGTGTCTACCAAGTTTGTTCAAATAAAAGCCCTGGGGTCAAAATTGGCCCCGCCCCAGGGGGTCATTGATTTTCCCTATATGCATATAGTAAAAACTTAAAAAATCTTCTTTTAAAGAACCCAAAGAGCTAGAGCTAAGATATTTGGCATGAAACATCTTCTAGTGAGTGTCTACCAAGTTTGTTCAAATAAAAGCCCTGGGGTCAAAATTGGCCCCGCCCCAGGGGGTCATTGATTTTCCCTATATGCATATAGTTAAAACTTAAAAAATCTTCTTTTAAAGAACCTAAAGAGCTAGAGCTAAGATATTTGGCATTAAACATCTTCTAGTGAGTGTCTACCGAGTTTGTTCAAATAAAAGCCCTGGGGTCAAAATTGGCCCCGCCCCAGGGGGTCATTGATTTTCCCTATATGCATATAGTAAAAACTTAAAAAAATCTTCTTTTAAAGAACCCAAAGAGCTAGAGCTAAGATATTTGGCATGAAACATCTTCTAGTGAGTGTCTACCAAGTTTGTTCAAATAAAAGCCCTGGGGTCAAAATTGATTTTCCTTTTTTGTGTATAATAGCAAAAACTTAAAAATCTTCTTTGAAAAAACCCATATAGCTAGAGTTTAGATATTAAGCATGAAACATCTTTTAGTAAATTTCTACAAAGTTTGTTCAAATAAAAGCCCCGGGGTCAAAACTGGCCCTGCCCCAGGGTGTCATTGTTTTTAACTATATGTGTATAGTAAAAACATAAAAAATCTTCTTTTAAAAAACCCAATGAGCTAGAACTTAGATGTTTAGCATGAAACATCTTCTTATGGGTGTCTACCAAGTCTGTTCGAATAAACAAATAAAAGCCCTTGGGTAAAAATTGGCCCGGGGGGGGGGGGGGTATATACAGGTGAGCGACCTCAGGGCCATCATGGCCCTCTTGTTTCTTATTTTGCTGAATGTGTGTTATGTCTGAAAAAAGATTTTATGTTACTCTAATAACTTAAGGGACTTGAATTATTGGAGGTCAGCTGTTCTCACTTTTAAATTGCTGAACTTTTGTAATGGAATTGCTCAATTTTGAATTTGCAACAATCCATTTGAAGTTTCAGGGATTTTATTGTATGCCACCAACAGTATTGAGCTTTGTCAGACGACTGGCCTGGCTCTACGCAGGTGAGGTTGCAAAGTGGCAAAGACTTATCACTTTGGGTTCCAGTAGGTTAAGGTTTGATAGAATGACCTTGAAGGTTTGCTAGAATGACCTTGAAGGTTTGATAGCATGACCTTGAAGGTTTTCTAGAATGACCTTGAAGGTTTAATAGCATGACCTTGAAGGTTTGCTAGCATGACCTTGAAGGTTTGCTAGCATGACCTTGAAGAATAGATGTAAAATATAATATTTTGATGATTTTTTCAATGTGGTATATTTATTACAGAGAGTTTGGCCAGTTTAACTATCCATATTATAATCAAGGGAGGTAAGGATGTAAACAAAAATATAGAATATTTTGTAGTATTATGTTTATATAATTCTAATAACCAACAGGAGCTTGGAATGTAATAGTTCATTTATATACATGTGAAGATGTTTTGTTTTATTTTCTTGAATATTCATGTTTTTTTATGCAGAAGCAATATTAAATTTATATAATGCTTAGATGTAACATTTGAATATTCTGATAATTGGTATACAGTCTCATTTAAATGCAAAATTAACATTTTTTTTAATATGGACAGAGAAGATATTTATGTTTTGTTTGAAACTCTACACACTATAGGTAAACATTGTGTCAACAATAACATAGTGTCATTAAAAAACTAGCAGTGTTTTAATGAAAAGACCAAATCAACTTAACCAGTTATTGGGAATGTTGTTTCCCAAATACAGCTTTTGTCTTCTTTCATTAAAATTTGACATATTCAGTAATAGGTTCCTAGATTTCAATAAAGCTCTAAGTATATAAAAGTATACTACCTTAAGTTAAGTTAAGATGAGCATAGTATATCTTAAAAAATATGCAATTTTTGAAAGACAAATTACTTTTTGAAAGAAACTTTTATATTTTTCAGTATGTTTATTTGGACTTTAACTTTACTTAAACTGTTGTTAGTCACTATCTAGTTGAAGTCTAAGTTGTTAACATTTTAATATCCAAGCTTCTGTACAAATATTCTTACTTTCTTATACAGTATCTGACATTAACATTTCATGCAGTAACATAGAATTCTAGGAGTAAAATACATGTACATGTACTTCTAGAATTGACAAATTACTTTTTTGTGCAAGTTTTATACAAAACTTGTTATAAATGTAATTGATAAGTACTTTGGAATGTATTTTGTAAAGTAAACAATTTTTGTTCTAGACTGTAAACATATTTCTGGAACTGCTAATTTAGAAATATAAAATAACATTCATTTTTTAAGACACAACATTGTAATCTTTACTTTACGTTTTTATTTTTTACAAGATTTTTTACAAGATAAAATGAGGCGTGTCATGACAAAACCAATGTAATGCGTTTGCAACCAGCATTGATCCAGACCAGCCTGCGCATCCGCACAGTCTAATCAGGATCCATGCTGTTCGCTATCAGTTTCTGTACTTGTAATAGAGTTTAAAAGCGAACAGCATGGATTCTGATCAGACTGCGCAGATGCGCAGGCTGATCTGGATCCATGCTGGTCGCAAACGCACAATGTTGGTTTTGTCAATACGCAGCTCAAAAAGTAAACACACTTGATGCTTACAGCATTATTCTTCTATAGAAATCACATTGTAGATTATCTATCCATAATCCTTTATATGTAATCTTTAAAGCAGTCTTCAGCTTTTCTCAAGGTTAAATATATTACCATATATTAAGATAACTTGTTTCATATAATTGTTAAAGGTGGAAAATGAAATTTGCCGACGATATAATACATAAACACTAAGGAAACCCCTTGATACCTTTAATTTATCAGTCCACTTTCTATTCTTTTAAATTAGTAAAGCAGACAATTCATTTCCCAATTTTCTATTTTTAGAACATCACTGAAGGTAATACATTGTAAATAGCTCTCGGGATGTTGTTTTGAGGAAGGCTTCACAGTGATATGATGCCATGATAAAATTACTGAAATACTTAGTTTGAAACAACAAAGATTTGTTTTACCAACAGAAAAGTAAAGCTGAAGGCTACTTTAATACACAGATTTCAAATGTATAAATGAGCCTCGCCATGACAAAACCAACATAATGGGTTTGCGACTAACATTGATCCAGACTAGCCAGCATATCCTCGCAGTCTGATCAGGATCCATGCTGTTCGCCATCAGTTTCTCTACTTGTTATAGGGTTTGTAAGCGAACAGCATGGATCCTGATCAGACTGCTAACATGCGTAGGCTGGTCTGGACCCATGCTGGTCGCAAACCCATTATGTTGGTTTTGTCGTGTTGCGGCTCAAATTTATAATACATCAGTAATTAACAAATTAAGATATGTTTATATGATGTAGCATACATGTACAACTTGCTTCAATATATAGACTGTACACATAACAACTATTTTATCCCACAGACATTTTATACTGTAAGTATATGGGCTTAAGTTGTTTAGAACAAAAAGAAATTCATGGATTTGCACTGACATTACAGCATTATTTCTGTAAAACATTCCACAGCTTATTATTGCAACATGATAACTTTCAACTAGCATTTATGAAAGGGATGTTTAACTGCCAGTAAGAAAGCAGTCAGACCATGTCATTGCAAGAAATAAGCAAAAATATAACAATTATAATATTCATTAGAAAATTGTATTATTTGAAGAAAATTGTAAATTGTTATTGCAAATCCATTTCTCATGGGTAAAAGTTTTCAGGATATTCATACTTTCAAAAGTTCTCTGCCAGTTATGAAAACTTAATATTTTAAAAGTGACTCTTAGTTTTTTAGGATATTGTTTTTTAATTCCAAACTTTTACCCATGATTTTTTGCCTATTATACAGTGAAGTTATTGTAATGTATGGTTGATTTAAACCCTATGACTATTTAAAGCACTCACAGGTATGCTGTAAAATCTATTTACCTCATTCCTTCATTACTTGATCTTTCTGCATTAAAAAATAAAAAAAAATTTCTCATTTAAGTTATTTTGATACATCAATTCAACATTTAATTCACTCACTGAAAACCGGCAAATAGCTTTTTGTTCTGAAAAAAAATCCCATTTAATACAAAACATTGATATTTCTAAAACAGAACTGGTGTTGATTAGAATTCTCTCATAAGATAGATTTTTAGCTTGTGATAAACTCATGGTGTACTGTGAGTTATATGGTGTCTGTCAACCATTTATATTACATGATTTTACTGTTCCATTTATCATGATGTTTAAATATGAAACCTTGTACGAATTCTAGATGTAAAAGATAGTCTTTAAGTCAAAGTACATAGACATTGGTTTCTAAAATGTTTCATTGTTGGAGGGTTGGCCCTGGATTTTATTTGCAAGTAGACAATTAGGTCATTTTTTTGGGGTTTTTTTTTTTTATAAATTGTTGTACATTTAATTATGGGATTGCTCTTTTTTGTTCAGAGAATTAAAAGGCTTGTTATTGCTTATAGAAAGAAGTAGATTTATTTATTATATAAAATGTAATTATGTATACTTGTACACAGGTGTACATGATAATTTTCCTTAACCATTGTTGAAATACTTAAGATATACAACTTTTTCATAGACCTGTTTACAGTAATCACCTATGGTTACCTGACTGCAGTAATGTTTCAGATGTGGTCAGAAATAAGAGACATATCTCCAGATAAATGTTGGAATTGACGCAAACAATTTTACTAATTTATAAAAAGGATAAATACAACTAGAAATAAGCTTACAATTTTTATTATGAGACATGTATGCTGTAATTTGAATTGGTTTAACTTATCAGTTTGCGAGACAAATCATTCATATTGTTATTGAAATATTACTGATATTGTAATAATATCATTGGACAATCTTGACTTTAATCATTCTTATACTTTTAGGCTGCTGTAAGTTTATGAATAAATTTTGATTTTAACCCAATAATGCATGTAATGTAGTACAATGTACATGTTGGCTCTTTAAAAAATTTTTGACAGTTTATATGGCCATGTTTATATGCTATTTTTGCTATATAAATCTTGACTAACAGTCCAGGTTATAAATGTCTTAGTACAATCCTTTAAACTGGGCCATATATCCTATTAAAAATCTTTTTAAACTGCAATTGTATTAATGATGTAGGCATATGTACGCACCAGCCAGTCATTCTTATTCAATTGATGATTCAACAATAGTGATGTGTCACTGACATGTATGTTACATATTATTGTGTATCTTTACCTTAATTAGCAAATCAAGTTGTATACATTGTAGTTCACTGATTAAAGGAACTCCACTGAGATTCAAATGCCTTTGAAAATAGAATTTGAATTTTTTGCATAGATTACCTTTGGCATTTAGAAAGATGTTTTGATCTGAAATTTTGCAGACAAGTTATTAGTCTAGACCTACATCAAATGGATTAATCTTGAATAATTAAAATTATTTAAATTCTGTCATGTCAAAAAACCTCAGTGGAGTCCCTTTAAGATTTACATAAAGAGTTTGTTTGAACATCATTTGGTTGTGATTTCAGGCAGTTTGGTCAGTTCGATTACAGTAACCAGAGCACTAATTATGGAATGGAGGCAAGTTACACCGGCCAACAACCCGCGCCATATAATCCGTCCATCCTCACTCCTGACTCGGCACAAGCCTTCTCAGCACCACCAGGGGGAGACAACTACGAGGATGAACCTCCGTTGATGGAAGGTATTATTCATAAAGATGATAGGTTTTTTCCATTCATAACATCAGGGTTACTGTATTTTCGCGTTTCTAAGCAAACTAGGCGAAATGAGGAGAATCAAGGCAAAATAGAAGTCATCTAGAAACTTGTTCCAAGCATCTACCTCTATGACTTATTTACCCTTAATTATTACAAAACACACAGTAAAATTTAGCAGTGTATTTTGTAGAGTTTGGTGTATACAAATCATTCACTGTGTATAAACAGTTGGTTTCCTGTTTTGGCAAGAAAAGTTGAAATTTAAAACATCTATTGGTTCCAAAGAAAGGTATGGTAATCTGAAGTAGCGGGTGCTTGTTTCCACAAATTCATGGTACACATTTAATTGTATAGGCTTGCAAGACATGGTATAGTGATATTTTGTTTGTGTAGGTTAATGTCAGGTTATTTATGCAGGTAGGGGAGGTAAGTGTTACAGTACAAAGTTAAATTTGATATCAAAATTGTCTCCCTTGTGTCTTATTAAATGCATTATAAAATATAGTAAGTAAATATCTTCCATTCCTTTTGTCACAGAATTTATTTTATGATATATATTCAGCTAATGTGTCACTGGTTTCAGTGGGAAGTGGCTTTTAGTGTGAATTCATAAATGCTTATGCGTTAACTTTCCTCCATGCAAGTTTTGACTAAAGTTTTTTACTCTATTAATATACAGTTTTAAGCCTAAAGAATTGTGTATTACTTGGCTATCGAAATAAATGTTTAACTAAAACTGAAAATTTACAGTAGTTTACAAAATTTTGTTATTTTTCTAACTATTATCATATTGTATGAATTGGCTGTAAGTATTACAAATTAACTTAAAGCAAAATGTACTGGTACATACAAAAGGAATGATCAAAAAGTTGTTCCAACATTCATTGTGTATCATATAAGCTTATCTATAGTTGCCAATATGCCAGGACTATACAAGGCTAGAAAACTCTAGAAAACTGTTATAAATTTTATGTCATAAAGGAAAATGCAATAGAAATAAAGAAACAACCGGTTCTTTAAGACTACACTTGATATCTTAGATGAAATTGTCTGTATTTCAATAAAGACAAAACAATTGATCATTTTTAGAGAAAACATGCATTGACTCAATGATAAACTGGGACATCCGTAGCCATGTGATTAAGGTCCTTGACTACAAACCACCTGCCTCCTACTGCTGTAGGTTCCAGCCACGCAAGGGTCTTCAAATTCTTTCTTGTGAGAAAGCCATCCAGCTAGCTTGCAGAACGTCAATGGTTCTACTCAGGTGCCCTCTGCCAGTAAAGGTGGAAAGTCGCCATATGACCTACACTGTCTTAGTGTGATGTAAAACCCAGTTAAAAAAACAAAAACAAAAAAAACATTAATTCAAATAAGTTTGCTTTTTTTCTGCTTTCAGAACTTGGTATAAATTTTGACCACATCGTACAAAAGGTAAGTGATATAATAAGGAAATAGATATCAATTCTGAGTGCATTGTGGCAGAATAATGCACAGGAACATAATCATGAGGGCCGATTATCATGCTAATAAACAGCAGAATTGATAAAAATATATGTAGTAAAAATGGGCATAGAAGTAATTTTCCTGATGTCATTAAGTTTATTGACATCATATATGATGTATACATGTGTAAGCATTCGTTTTTTATGCTGTGCATATATTGTGTAATAATGCACTTGATTGCCCTATGTCTGTTTGATAGGTGGATAGTGTGAAGCGTGTTAGAATAGTCAATATGATAATAACATATAACAGAGTATGTAATATTCAGATAGTGTGAAATATGTAGCTGCGTTTATTTATCCAATGTGACATTAACATTGGAAATCCAGGTGCAAATTGGGGAAGAAAAAAAAAATGTTTGAATTAATTTATTACTTGATAGTTTCATCTCATTACTAGGTTTCCTGGTTTATTATAAGACTTGACTATATGTGTGATATTTGCATTTTTTGTACATTTTTATACCCCCAAAAAGGAAGTTTGGGGGTGTATATAGGAGTCACCCTGTGGTCGGGCGGTCGGTCGGTCTGTCGGTCGGTCCACACGTCCGTTGCATTTTCCTTGTCCGGAGCATAACTTGAAAACTAATGGTTGGAATTCAATATAACTACATACAATGGTCAAGCACATTGAGAGGAAGTGCAGTGCACAAGAATCATAACTCTATCTTGACTAATTACAGAGTTATTGCCCTTTGTTACTTTTCCTTGTCCGGGGCATAACTTGAAAACTACTGGTTGGAATTCAAAACAACTTCATACAATTGTCAAACACAATAAGGGGAAGTGCAGTGCACAAGAACCATAACTCTATCTAAAGTAATTACAGAGTTATTGCCCTTTGTTGCTTTTCCATTGCTTTTTTTTTTGACTGTTGCATTTTCCTTGTCCGGAGCATAACTTGAAAACTAATGGTTGGAATTCAATATAACTACATACAATGGTCAAGCACATTGAGAGGAAGTGCAGTGCGTAAGAAACATAACTCTATCTTGACTAATTACAGAGTTATTGCCCTTTGTTACTTTTCCTTGTCCGTGGCATAACTTGAAAACTACTGCTTGGAAATCAAAACAACTTCATACAATTGTCAAACACAATAAGGGAAAGTGCAGGGCACAAGAACCATAACTCTATCTAAAGTAATTACAGAGTTATTGCCCTTTGTTTGCTTTTCAAATGCCTTCTTTTTTTTGTCCGAAGCATAACTTGAAGACTAATGGTTGGAATTCAATATAACTATATACAATGGTTAAGCACATTGAGAGGAAGTGCAGTGCATAAGAACCATAACTCTATCTAAAGTAATTACAGAGTTATTGCCCTTTATTACTTTTCCATTGCTTTCTTTTGTCCGGACCATAACTTGAAGACAAATTGTTGGAATTCATTATAACTTCATACAATGGTCCAGCATATTGAGAGGAAGTGCAGTGCACAAGAACCATAACTCCATTTTGACTTATTACAGAGTTACTGCCCTTTGTTTCTTTTCCTTGTCCAGAGCATGACTTTAAAACTACTGGTTGGAATTCAAAACAACTTCATACAATGGTCAAGCACAATAAGGGGAAGTGCAGTGCACAAGAACCATAACTCCATCTTGACTAAGTACAGAGTTATTGCCCTTTGTTACTTTTCCTTTGCTTTCTTTTGTCTGGACCATAACTTGAAGACTTATTGTTGGAATTCATTATAACTTCATACAATGGTCAAGCACATTGAGAGGAAGTGCAGTGCATAAGAACCATAACTCCATCTTGACTAATTACAGAGTTACTGCCCTTTGTTACTTTTCCTTGTCCCAGAGCATGACTTGAAAACTACTGGTTGGAATTCAAAACAACTTCATACAATGGTCAAGCACAATAAGGGGAAGTGCAGTGCACAAGAACCATAACTCCATCTTGACTAGTTATAGAGTTATTGCCCTTTGTTACTTTTCCTTGTCCAGAGCATGATTTTGAAAACTACTGTTTGGAATTCAGTACAACTTCATAACAGTTGTCAAGGACATTCAAAGGAAGTGCAGTGCACAAGAGCCATAAATCCATTTTGACAAAATACAGAGTTACTGCCCTTTGATACTTTTCCTTGTCCGGAGCATAACTTAAAACGTACAGGTTGGAATTCAAAACAACTTCATACAATGGTCAAGCACAATAAGAGGAAGTGCAGTGCACAAGAACTATGATTCTATCTTAAGTATTTATAGAGTTATTGCCCTTTGTTCTTTTTCTTTGTCTTTCTGGACTTATTACAGAGTAATTCAATTAAACTTCATCAATGGCCAACCACACTGAAAGGAAATGCAACATACATGAACCACAATTATCTTTAATTGCCCACAACCATAACTCTATGTTTCAATTCTTTTACAAGGTATTCTGTTACTAGTAACATCCTCATTTCCGAAGCAGACTTTTGGGGGTATTAATCACATTTAGTGATAGTTCTAGTTATTTTTGAAGTATTTGAATATATATGTGTATATATATAATATTATATATGTGTGTTTAGTCAAAAGACATTGTTGATAACTTGATAACACTTTAGGTTTCCTGAAATTCTGCAACCATTTCTCAGAATATTTGAAACATGGTGCTTTAAATCATTAATAAGATGTTCTCAAAGCCCATAAGGAGGACACCCATTGACATAGTTCCTAGTTTATGGAATAGTTTTAATTTTTGCAAATGATACAACCAGGCAGTTCAATAAAAAATGTTCTTGCATAACTCCTAACACAGTTGCTCCTTATTTTTTGCTTGACTTGTTCTTTCTATTAAAAAAAATTCTAGAAGGAAGAACAGTTGCAATAAAAGTGCCAAAATATATAACTAGTTTTCTCTGTACCTTTAGAGACACTTGAAACATGTAATGTCTGTTTGTAATTGTAAACTTTTGCCATCGTCAATCAGGCATACTACTAGTAGTAGTATTGTGTGTTAGAAGTGCTTAGGATGCATTTTTTCCAGCCAGAATTCACTCAATAAAAAATCAGGCTATGCGCTTAAAATATTGTACAGAAAAGAGAAATTAAGTTGTCACTCATTCATGGGAAAGTTAACTTGGAAGAATGCTATTTTTTCAAAACTTGAGGTTACTTTTAGTAGAATTTTTTTTACAAAGGTGCTGTTGATGTATATTATTGGTCCATTATTGGATTTTGATAAAAATTGCAGTTTTGCGAAATGACCTAAAAGTGAAAAACATTCAAAGTCTGTTTAACTCAGTTGGGTTAAGAACTGAACAAAAACATCTACTTTCAGTTTAATTCTGAGTACTGGTATATTTCTTCCATTACCTTTTGTAAAATTATCTGTTTTATTAGCTCGACTATTCGAAGAATATGAGAGCTATTATAGTCGCCCCGGCGTCGGCGTCAGCGTCTGCGTTGGTTAAAGTTTTTTGTAAATTCAAATATCTCAATTATTACTTGAGATATTCAATTGAAACTTACAATACTTATTTATAGTAACAAGGTACATCAGATTGACAACTTGGATAACTCTGCCTACAATATTGACAGAATTATGCCCCTTTGGAACTTAGAAATTTTGGTTAAAGTTTTTTGTAAAGTCAAATATCTCAATTATTGCTTGAGATATTCAATTGAAACTTACAATACTTATTTATAGTAACAAGGTACATCAGATTGACAAGTTGGATAACTCTGCCTACAATATTGACAGAATTATGCCCCTTTTTAACTTAGAAATTTTGGTTAAAGTTTTTTGTAAAGTCAAATAATTTCTCAATTATTGCTAGAGATATTCAAATGAAACTTACAATACTTATTTATAGTAACAAAGTACATCAGATTGACATGTTGGATAACTCTGCCTACAATAATGACAGAATTATGCCCCTTTGGAACTTAGAAATTTTGGTTAAAGTTTTTTTGTAAAGTCAAATATCTCAATTATTGCTTGAGATATTCACTTGAAATTTAAAATACTTTTTTATAGTAACAATTTTACATATCTCTATAACTATTAAAGATATTTATTTAAAACTTCACATTTAGGGTCATAATTGTAGGTCACTGACAAAGCTTGCATTTAGGCTGATTTTTCTCCCTTGTTTCAACTTAGAAATTCATGGTAAAGTTTTGTTTGTAAGCTGTTATCTCAATAACTACTGAAGGGTTTGTGCCTTTTTTGGGACAATTTTACGCATTCATAATAATAAAGCAGTGATTTACTTGATAAAACATCTTAATAACAAGCCTTTGTACCTTTTCTGTCAAATTTATGTATTCATAGGTAATTAGTATTATTATACTTAATAAAACACCCTTGTGACATTACCTCCCGAATAGTCAAGCCAATACTGTATAATTAGACTCTCTCTCAGGCCTTTAACATGAATTTATAAAAAAAAATTAGCCCTTTTGTGAACTTAAAAATTTTAATAAAAAATTTAACATTATTAAGGCTCTTTAAATACTATCAATTACCTAGAATAGTCGAGCGTGCTGTCCTACCGACAGCTCTTGTTATTAAATGCCCTTGTTGATCTTTGTAAGAATTTCCTATTGTTTTTAGGTTTTATTGGACCTTTAAGTGGAGTTCCTTTAAGACTGTCGATGATTGGGATGAAAGTGCAAATTTGAGCCACGTCACGACAAAACCAACATAATGGGTTTGCGACCAGCATGGATCCAGACCAGCCTGCGCATCCGTGCAGTCTGATCAGGATCCATGCTGTTCACTTACAAACCCTATAACAAGTAGAGAAACTGATAGCGAACAGCATGGATCCTGATCAGACTGCGCGGTTGCGCAGGCTGCTCTGGATCCATGCTAGTCGCAAACCCATTATGTTGGTTTTGTCATGATGCGGCAAATTTATCCATTGTGCTACAGGTTTAATACTTAACAAAGTTTTGTCTTATTCACCTACTTTTTGTTTTCTCAGGCACTT